GGGGGAAAAGGTAGATTGCCTTGGTTATCGCATGTTTTGCTATACACTGAAAATGTTGTGATGATGGCATCTCTGTCCAGGTAATCAATAAAAAGTAAAATCTGCTTCATTGTCACAAAATATGCATGAAATATGATGGACAAGTTGTTGACCAAGACTACTAAGCATTATTTTAGGGTGGTGGCAGCAGGGCAACACCTGAAGTTTGCATTGCTGAAGTAATGAGTCTTATTAGTATCACAGTGTTTTGAAAATGATATTGAGCAAGCGTGATATTTAAAACAAACAAACAAAAAAGCTGGAGAAGCCTATATCACAGTGTAGAACAAGGGCATATCTCTTAAAAGTTGCACCAGTGCTTCTAAATGCATGTGTTCTTTGAACCAAAGAAGGTTACCAAAGCCAAGAAAAAATGAAATTTTCTGAAGGGTTTGGCCACTTAATGAAGTGGCTGGTAGGTCAAGAAGGCTCAGAATTCTGGACACTTTCTAAGATTTGGCTGAAGTTGTCATTGGAGACTGAGAGCAGTTTCATTTGAGTGCTGGGGATGGAAGCCAAAGTAAGGAGAGCCTACTTTGGAATTGGAGGAGAGGATCTCTAAACAGCAATTATATATAGCACATTTAATCATTGTAAAGATAAAAGGAAGATGAAGGTGGTAGTTTTAGAAGGCTGGGAATGAAGAAAGTATGTTTGCAGTGTGAGGGGAAAGATCCAGAGAAGACTGGTATTAAACAAAAGAACAGGTACTTGTATTATGAGGAGGCCTATACAAGTGTGTTCTATTTGTCTCTCTTTCTGCAGGCACGCTCACTTTTGCATTTCTACCTCAAATATTTGTTTGCAAAGTAAATGCAATGGGGGCATCTCTTTTTTTTTTTTTTCATTCTTAAGAGAGAATTTTATTGAACTTGTAAATTATCTGCTGTTTTTGGCATCCTGTGATCATTCAGCAGTTCATAATCTCAAGTTATAGGTGCCTTGGGGCACAGACCATGCTTTCTTTCCAGTCCTGCTAATGACAGATCTGCTAGATCAGGGCTTGGCAACCATTTCCCACCATGGGCTAGAGCTTGAAATCCAGCCCCCTACTGTGGGTTGCAGAGGACCCAAGCTGCCTGCACTTATCCGTTCACACCTATTTTAGTTTACTTCATTTTTGAGTTGTATAACTTGCATTTTTATTTTAGTCTGGTGAGTTGTTCTGATTTAATTATTCATCTGAAATTTATATGTTAATTCTGGTCAAAAGTTGTCCAGAGCTATGTTCTAAAATCAGTGTGGTCTTCACTAGTGTCTGCATTTTTTTTTTTTTTAAACAAAACTTTTAATATTACAGATAGTGAGGACACTGTGTCTCTTCCTTACTCCATCAGAACGGAAGTGCTCCAGACTCTGTAGAAATGAGTCTTCCTTCAAATATGAGTCAGGGCTCTTTGTACAAGGATTGCTTAAGGTAAGTCCATTTTGCCTTTCACTGTTGCACAGCTAAATTTTATTCTATTCCATCTAGAAAAATCCTTCTGTATTTCAAATGTTTATACAGTTTTTCCTCTTCATTTGATGTCTGCCATCAGTGTTTATAACCAGGCTTATCCCTATTTCTATGGCTTTTTGTTTTTAAGACTGCTAAAATTTCAGCTTGCCACTACTGTGTCCCTTTTCTTTGATGATGCTTTTGTTTGTATTGTCCCTTTGCTTTGGGAATACATCTGTTTATTGACCCAACAGGTATTAAGTTGTCTTCACTTGCAGAAAAGAATGTTAGTTTCCAGTAGGTTAAAGTACTAGGGAAGGTACTTTCAGATAATTATTAGAAATGTTTGGAGCTTGTTTAAAAAAAAAATAAGACTGGTATCACTCAAAGATGTTTCAGTCTGAATTTGCCAGATGGGATGTACACAATTGTAAAATGACAGAAAAATAAGAATTATATTATTAAACAACAGCACAGTGTGTCAAACTGGAAGTGGGGAGCAGAAGATCAATACAGTGGAGCATAGAAAGTAAAGAAGGGAAAACGCTCAAGACCCAATTGCACTTTAGATGTAATCCTTGAGAAAGGGGCAGTGAGTCTCTGCTACTACAGGAGCAGGCCAGAAGCCATAATCTAGATTTTAGTCTCCCTCTATTCTACAAGGCGAGTAATTTAAACCATCTTTGTATGGCACCGGCTACTTCCCTTTCCATGCCACTCCCTTTCCGGGGCCCGTAAGATACTGCTTGCTTAAAATCACACTTAGGTTATAGTATTGCTGTTTTTAACCTTGTATATTGCTTTGATTTTTGTGCATGTAATATGTCATGTTAGTGTTGTACCATTTGCATTGACACTGGAAAGGTGTCACTAGCAGCAATACAGCCATGTATGTAAAACTACTTTTTGATTCCTTACAATGCTTCTGTCTATATTAAGACATTTATCCAGTGTAACAATACAGTTTTATTAGCTATATAAATGTACCTCAAATTGCTCCTGCAGTGGATATTTTTAAAACATAAGTCTATTTCCTTAATACTGTCTTTCAGATCCCTGTTCTTTCTTGTAACTAGAAGACTTTAATTCTTTTCACTGTAACAGGATGCGACTGGAAGCTTTGTGTTGCCCTTTCGTCAAGTAATGTATGCTCCATATCCCACTACACATATAGATGTGGATGTCAACACAGTGAAGCAGATGCCTCCCTGCCATGAACATATATATAACCAACGGCGATATATGAGGTCTGAGCTGACAGCATTTTGGAGAGCTAATTCAGATGAAGAGATGGCTCAGGATACCATTATCCATACTGATGGAAGCTTCACGCCTGACTTGTATGTACTGATCCTGTACTTTTTCTCAAAATTTTATAGCTCAGAACAATGTAATAGTGTAGCCTTTACATATTAGCATGTATTTGCTAATAAAATCTATTTATGTTTACTCAGAACTGCTTTGCTTAGGAGAAACTGCCTGGTATTTGTGTTCTTCGTGGGAGGGAAACAGTGTATAGCAAGTTTAAAATATTAACAAAATTATTGCTCGATATTTCATTAGCACTTGTTCTCAGATTTGTGTTGATTTATCTTTTAATAGGGGTTTGGTTGTTTTGGTTTTAAATAAAGATGCTGTACAGTAAAGTTCATTTACAAGTCAAGGGATGGTTAACCATTTAGTGCATCGGGGCTGTCACTTAACTATAACAGCATTTGAAATAAAAAGCATTTAAGCGAGTTATAATTATTTTTAAGAATACAAGGCATAGTTATTTGTCTGGAAGAATTTACTCTTTTTGCCATGCACCAATATAATGCATTCACTGTTGCCTCATGAATTTTTTTTTTTTTGTTGTTGCCTGTTTTTTCATAGGAATATCTTTCAAGATGTCCTGCATCGAGATACATTAGTAAAAGCCTTTCTAGATCAGGTAATGGCTGCCCTTTCAGAAGGAACAAAAGATAAAAGCAGTGCATTGCTCTGCATAACAAATAGCTTAATACAGACAGATCCTTCCCTGCATTGCTGCAAATTACTGAATTGGCATTAAATAAATATATGAGTTTGTGTAGAAATGTAATTGCTTGATAGTTGCAAGTTCCTTCAAAGCATGTATGACACAAATAGCAAGAATATCAAAATTGCATAGGCTGCCCACATACCCTTCTAGAGTTGGTGCTGTGATCCTTTGCATGGATAGATAGCACAAAGCAGTGAATATTTTGAACTAGAGTGCAGAGGGGTGAGGGAGAATTGCT